GAAGACGAAATGAGGCTGGTTGTTTCATGGGGGGGTGGCTCGGGGAGCTTTTAAAGCCTGGTTACAGCTCCCGGCCGCCTGCCAGAGCTCTTGTAAAAGGGGCTAAATTTAGGTCTTGCGCTGGAGAGGGTGGAAATTTTTCCCTCTGCGTTCTCCCCCCTCAGCGCCATGGAATGCCGTGCCCGTGCGCCGCCTGCTCTTAAGGAATAATAATGAGAATTAATTGAATTAATCATTAAAGACTCCCCGGGATGGATGGGGAACCCGGCTCACTCCAGCCCGAGCGGGTCCGGTGCCTTCCTCAAGGTCGTTTTTAATGAGCTTGTTTGCAAACTCAGTGCTGCAACAGAGGCCGAGGAGGGAGGAACGCTGAGGGGGTGCTGGCAAAAAGGGAGGGGGGGGGGTTTGTCCTGTCCCCCAAAAGGTCCCCAGGATGAAGCACCCCGTCCCTGGGGGGCTGCGGGAGGAGGAAGAAGAAGAGGAGAGAGTGTTGGTGTCGGAGCAGAGCTGGAGACCGTGCCCCAAAGCCCGCAGGAGGCTCCGAGGTGAGATCCCAACCCAAAGCAGGGGGACTTTGGGGGTGTTGGGGTGTTTTGGGGGGTCAGCACCCTGTTTTCACACACACACACACCCCCCACAGGGTGCCTGGAGTGGGTGAAGCAGCAGCTATTCCGTGTCGGGGAGGATTGGTATTTCCTCTTCATCCTGGGGGTCCTCATGGCCATTGTCAGCTTCATGATGGACCTTCTCATCTTCAGGCTCTACGAGGGTAAATGAGGGGCTTCACCTGCCAATTCTGGGGTACGCCAAGGATGAAAGGGGGTCTTTTTGTTGTTGGGGGGGCATCTCCCCTCCTGATGCTTCTTCTCCAGCCCACCGGTGGCTTTACCAAGAGGTCGGTGATGTTTTGGTGCTCAAGTACCTCTCGTGGACCATATACCCAATAGTGATGGCAACCTTCTCCACTGGCTTCTCCCAGAGCATCACCCCTCACTCTGTAGGTGAGTTGGCTGCAGCCCAACCTTCCCCACTCCCCAGAACTCCCCTCTGATAGCAGGGAGAACCCCAAAAACATGGATACCCCCCTTTCAGGCTCTGGCATCCCAGAGCTGAAGACCATCCTGACGGGGGTGGTGCTGGAGGACTATCTGGCCATCAAGAACTTTGGAGCCAAGGTGGTGGGGTTGACCTGCACCCTGGCTGCTGGCAGCACCGTTTTCCTGGGCAAAGTGGTGAGTGACCCCTCCTAAATGGTTCCCAGCATCACTTGGTGCTGGGATGGTGGTGGAAGGTCATTCGGTGCCATGTGTCCCCCCCCTCCTTTCTCCTTCTCGCCACCCAGGGGTCCTTTGTCCACCTCTCCACCATGGCTGCAGTGTATCTGGGGAAGATGAGGACCTCGGTCATGAAGGAGTATGAGGTGGGGGTGACACCCCAAAAAACTTAAAGGGGAAGGGTACTCCCCTCCTAAAATAAGCGTGATTTTATCTTACCCCCTGCCCTGCAGAACAAGTTCAAGCAGAACGAGATGCTGGTGGCAGCACAAGCCGTCGGGGTGGCCTCAGTTTTTGGAGCACCCATTAGCGGTGAGAACCCCCCCACCCCATCCCATCCCACCCTGGGGACCCCCAAATCC